GAGAGATTAAAAACAAGAGACTACAGTCAGTTCACGACATCATTTTTAAACCTTTTCTACTTATTTGTGTTGACATTAAGTACGGACTTACCTTTGTCCTGCATGGTGAGCTAGAGCTTGAGAAAAACAATGTTAGTCATTTACAAACACTGCAAAGGCCAACTTAAACATTTAAAGTTTAAAAACAAGTTCTAACATAATCTAGTCAGAGTCGCTGTCATCAAGTGAAAGGTTAAAAGGCCTTTCCCAGAAGCGTCTGACACCAACAGAACCCGAGGATGTTGAAGGGCCATAAAACGTGTCATCACTTACCTTGCACCTCTTTGCACTTACCTCATCAGTGCAGATGTCTTCTCTGCTTCTCTTTGCTGAGGAGGTGAGAGCTGAGGTTGAAGGAGAAGCTGAGAGAGTAGCGGAAGAAGGAGCAGCAGAGGAAGGAGCTGAGGGAGCAGGGGAGGAAGCAGCTAAGGGAGCAGGAGAGGAAGCAGCTGAGGGAGGAGCAGAGGAAGCAGGAGAAGCTAAAGGATCACCAACCGGGAAGAGTGGGGCGTTGGCCTGGCCGAAAGGCGGCATGGCGAACGGGGCAGCACCTGGAGCAATAGGATGTTGCCAATCGTGCCAAAACGGCTCTGGAGGGAGCTCCTGGATGAGAGGGGAATCAGCTCTCTCATCCATGGTGTCATACCCCGAGTCGTCACTAGGCCAATCGGCCCACTCTTCTGAGTTGTTCCAGTCAGAGGAATTGTCAGTGTCTTCACTCACCTCTTCGACGTCCTCGGGTATGTAGGGAGGGTACTCACCTTCCTCTTCACTGTCATCAGGATCCTGTGCTTCAGGAGAAGAGGGTGAGGATGGGAGAGGGATATACTCACCATACTCACCTTCACTGACACGCTCGGTATCAGAGTCATCCAGGATCCTGATGACCTCAGGAAGGCCTTCTTCTGCAGGACGCTCAACCACGTAGTCGAGACGACCTGTGAGGAAACAAGTTTGAAATAACATTAAGAATGTAATAAACATCAAGTGCTAAAGGAACAGAGCTACATCTGTTAGTTTGAGCAGACGATGAGAGAAAAGCATTTTAGGCTACATTTATGTCAGACTGAATGACACTTCTACTTGTTCATGCAAGCAAAAAACAGCTAAGTCAACTAAATTCACACCATTAACTGCTATATAATAAGATATAGTAGTAGCATAACATAAGGATACCATTATTACTACTGTACTATGATTACTGTTTTCATATTCTTTTTTATATTCATTTATTTTTGTTAATTTTTATTATCATGTTTTGTAGCAGGGGAAAAGTTATAGTTTATTTCAATAAAGCCTTTGATCCAAGAAGAACAGGATGTTAGGAGGGGACCGGGATCTGGTGTGTTTGTAACGTCACCTGACGTTACAAAGAAACCTTAAACCGACCTTATATATAGACCTGGCTGTTCAGTTGAAACGCATTCACACAGCGGGACAGCAGCGCTTTAAACGTTCAAACACGGAGTTTAACACAAAACAACATTTTAGACATAAAAAACAAAAAAGTGAAATGGCAAGCTCAAACTGTAACACAATGACAAATGATGAAACAGTTCAGACCAATCGGGATAATTCTACAGTACATGCTTTGGTATCCCTCTTGAATAACTTGTTCAGTAGTTTTTCGAACAAGCAGTGGGAAGAGCTTACCTCAGGCTATCTGGATTGCTTCACCGCTAAGCGGCTTGCAGGTTTTGTAGAGGACCTGTGTGAACAGTCAGGAGCAGTATCACCACTGAGGTCTTCCCACAACTCCCCTGTACATCAAAACTGTTCTGTCCACACCACCACTGGCAAAACGTTTTTGTCACCTGTGAAATTTTTGGACGATTCTGCTGAGCAGGAGTTTGATACAGCACAGAATATAGATGCTAACAGCCAAGAAACAGCAAACACAGAAGAACGCTGTCAAAATGCTGACCAACACAGTGCTGCAAAAGCAGAAAACAATCCAATTCCAGATCCCCAGCAGCAGAAATCCTGTGTTGAACATGAAGCCAGCATCCCACCGTTAACAAACATAAGTCAAACGGAGTCATATAAAAAGATACAGAATCACAGATCTTCTGTAGACTGTGAGCCACCTGAAAACACCTTAGACTTTGAAAGATGGTTAGAGACACTAATTCAAGCTTGGTAAACTTTTAAAGTGCCCTCATTCTCACCAAAAACGTTTGTTGGATCTACTCTTGGACAAATTCAAGGGGATGGATTTGCATTTAGACCGAAAAGTGCAGAATTATTTTGACTGCATTGCTAATGCCATTTTCACTGATATTTGTGACCAATTATATAATTGGTCACTAATATCATTGGAAATGGGGAGGAGTGGGGAGGAGGATTCAGTGAATTTAATGGGACAACCAATATTTAATATCATAACTACTTCAGTATTCCAAGAACACCTGTTGGCAGTAACAATTATCGATAGACTGGAATCATATGAAAAGAAAGAAAGATGCAGACTTTCAGTGGAAATCTTTGTGGAAGGACTGATTTCCCGGGTTGCAAAAAAATCAGGCACAGTCTTCAGCATTGAAAATGCTGAAGCTATCTCCAACCGGCTTACCATGAAAATCTGGACTGAAATCAGGGCAGAATACGACAAAATCCCCCCAGAGAAGTTCAAGAAACTCAGCAAGAGGGTTTTCAAATCCCTCTGTAAAAGATGGAAGCATGCAGCGGTTATTGTGACATCCTGGCAATTAAACGTCCAAGATCTTGATGAAGATATTGTTAAAACTTTCAAAAGAAAGATATTCCCAGAACCAAGTTGCATATCTAAGTGCTTCTCATCGCTGCGTGCATTTTTTGGGAGGTTTAAGGGAGGAAACAAAGTTTCCCCTTTATAGTGACATCGTGATATCAACAGCAAGATATTTTCTAAAACTCACTGGACACTTTAAATTAGCTAGTTTTACATTTAGATCAGATCAAGTCATTTTTGAAATCCCCAGGAATGGTCGCGGCAGATGGCCACCCCGCCCTGAGCCTGGTTCTGTCGAAGGTTTCTTCCTCTTAAAAGGGAGTTTTTCCTTCCCACTGTCGCCTCG